AAGAGCACTTAGCCGGGTTCAACTTCATACCGTACCTCCGTAAATTCAAAAAGGTTTCCTTCAGATTGTTCACGTGATGGGCCTCCTCCTTGATTTTTACCAACATATCATCCACATAAACCTCCATGTTTCTCCCCAATTGATCCTTAAAGATTTTATCGATCAGCCTCTGGTATGTTGCTCCCGCATTTTTCAGGCTAAAAGGCATCACCACATAGCAATAAGTGCCCCTGCTCGTAACAAAACTCACTCTCTTCCTATCCTCCTGAGCCAAAGGAATATGATGATATCCCTGAGACGCATCCATCAGACTAAGCAACTCACACCCCGCAGTGGAATCGACCAGCTGGTCGATCCTAGGCAGTAGATACAAATCTTTCAGGCACGCCTTGTTTCAGTCGCGAAAATCAATGCACATCCTCCACTTGCCTCCCGAATTAGACACCATCACCGTGTTGGATAACCACTCGGGGAATTGGATCTCCTTAACATGACCTGCCTTCAACAACTTCTCGACCTCCTGCTCGATCACCTTGTCCATCTCCGCTCCATGGTGCCTCCTTTTCTGTTTTACCGGCCTTACCGAGAGCTCGATATTCAACCTATGCTCGATTACCTCTACCTTTATACCCGTTAACTCCTTACCAGTATACGCAAAAATATCCGCGAACTCCCTTATTAGCCCAATCAACTTCGACCTTACGGGCTCCTCCAACTCCTTCCCTATTCGAAACTTCCTTTCCTCACAACCTTCCACCATTTGGATCTCCTCGATCTCCCCTCCTGGCTGCATCTCCACCTTCTCATTTTCTTTATCCGGCTTCTCCTTCTCCTCCTTCGACCTCGAACTCCAGGTCGACTTAGTATTCCCTCTTCTAACTTCACCTGCTTCCTCGCGAGCTGTTTATTTTTGCTCACCGTGGTTTGGTAACAGCTCCTCGAAGTAAGCTGATCCCCTGCGACCTCGCCAACGTTTTCGTCCACTGAATATTTAATCGTCATATGGTACGTCGACACGACCGCCTGGAATGCATTCAAACTGGTCCTCCCCATTATGATGTTGTACAATGACTCCGCTCCCACGACCACGAACCTTACCATCCTCACCTTCCTTGTCGCTCATTTCCCCAATGCGACAGATAGACTCACCTCTCCCATTGGCATCACTTCACCTCCATTTAATCCGTATAAGGCTGTGGTCACCGGCTTCAGCTCGAGATTGAGCTCCTTGTTTATCTGCACAAAACAATCATACAACATTACATCCACCAAACTCCCGATATCAATGAACACCCTCTTCACATCAAAGCCTGCCACCTCCGCCGTAATCACCAACGCGTCATTGTGGGGCAACACCACTCCCTTAGTATCCTCTGCCCGAAAACTTATTTCCGGCATTCGAGCAGTAATCCCTACCTCCTCTCTCTTCCTCTTTATCGCTCGAACATGCCCCTTCCTCGCATTGTTCGAGTCTCCATCAGTTGGTCCTCCTGGAATCATATATATCGTCCCTCTCTTCACAGGACCCTGATCCTCCTGACCTCCTCGATCTCTGCTCCCTCGTCTCCTCTTACCCCCAGCACCTCCTCGATCACCTCTTCCTCCTCGAGGCTCATCTTCCTCATCATCATCTCGATCACTTCTCTCCACTGAATCTTCTCGACATTTCCCCATTTCTTTTCCCTTCACTTTGTCCTCATACATAAACTCCTTGAGATTCCCCGCCCTAATGAGGCGCTCAATCTCATTTTTGAGGTGCCTGCACTTCTCCGTCGTATGCCCGTAATCCTTATTAAAACGGCAGTACCTCCTCGACCTGGGCTGTGTCGGCCCTTCATGCCTCGACCTAGGCCACGTCACATCTTTGTCATCTATCTTCTTCTCAATGGCCACCAATACCTCTCCCATCTTTGCGTTAAGCGGCATAAAGTTATGGAACCGCTTTCCACCAAATAATGATCGATCCTTCCACCTATCCTCTCGTCCTCGATCCATCCTGCCACGCCCTTCTCTCCTAGGCGATCTCCTCCTCGGTGACACCATCCTAGGCGAGTTCGCTCCCCTTCTTGGGCAGCTTAGCCAACTCCTCCAACTTAGCAAACTCTGCCTCCGTTTCCTCCAGATTAATGTACTTCTTGCACCTCTTCAACACATCATCATACGTACGAGCAGGGGTTTTGGCCATGGACGTTCGACAGGGCCCTGCTCGCAAACTCCTTATCAACCCTCTAGCTTTCACCTCATCAGCAGCCATGGGGATCTCCAAACACGTTTGATTATATCGAGCCAAGTACTTGCGTAGCGACTCCTTCTCCCCCTGCCTCATGGCCATCAAAGTCAAATACGTCTTCTCCTGGGCCACAGCACTCGCATATTGGGTCATCAGCGCTTCTCCGTGAAATCGTCAAAATCCGCTATCGATCCATGAGGGAGCTGCTGAAACCAGTCGAGCACGCCTCCTCTCAAGGTCGACAAAAACGCCCTGCAATTAACAGAATCAGAATAACCGTGTAACACAGCCAAGTTCTCAAACGCCCTTACATGTCTCGACGGGTCAGAAGTCCTATCGAACACCAAACTCATGTCCCTGAGATTCGCGGGTAATGGTGCGGCCAATATTTCCCTCGAGAATGGGTGTCCTCGAGCACGCCGCTCCGGTCGACCATCCATCTTGGCGTGCATCTGTCTCACCTGCTCCGCGAGTCTTTCTACCTCCCGATCTCGCAGCGCTCCATCTCCCCCATAGCTAGACACATCCTCCTCCACCATCGTTGGCCCAGCAGCCACTCGAGAAAGGCTTTGGGTGACCTGCTGGCGCTGCTCCTCCACCTGCGGCGACGCTACTCCCTGCACCACCGCTCCTTGCTGCGGTGCCACGGCCAGATCTGGCTGCAACGGCGCTGGGATCATTGTTCTCTGAGTCGTACGGACCTCATGAGCTCAGCTTGAGCCCACATCAGCTTCGGGATGCACCGGTGTGACCCCCACACCTTGTGGAACAGGCATCGGAGTCACCGGTGTATGTAAGGGTCTAGAGAAGCCCGACGGAGGGCCTTCTCCAAACGGCCTCGTCGTCGTCCATGCCTCATCAAACGACGCTTGCAGATCTCTCCTAGGAATTCCGTCCGCCATAGCTACCAAGCTCCAATAATCTCAGCACACCACTTTTCGAACGAAAGTCCCACAGATGGCGCCAAAATGGTAACGCAAAACACTACGACCGGCTTGAAATCGGCTCGTCTTCCTCCTCCTCGCTGGTAGAACGCCGCATACTTGCAAAGAACTCTCACACCGAGGCTTTTTTCCGGTGAAGAGCCTCCGATGCTTAAGTCAGAATATATCTCACTCAATTCTCCAAAGTAAGAAATGGATAAATCGTAAGTAACAAGAAAGGCTCACTCCTATATATATAGGAGTGAGATACCTGCCCTAGGAGCTGCCCAGATCTGATGAGCTGTTCTCTCAACGCTGTCTGTACCTGCCCGTTCGTACACACACAGTGTGTGTGTGTCAGAGGTGGTTATCGCCACTAATTGGTTTTCAGATGGAACCTCACTTGGGCTTCATCTGGGCTTTCCCTGTTAGTGCGCTTCATCTGCGTGGGACTGCAACTATTTTACCCCCGATTCTTTCAACCCATTTTACAAAGTCTAGGAATGAATATCAAATGTGGGCACGAGTTTCAATATATACAGATTAGAAATGGGGTTGAAATGCCATCCAGATGCATTGGGGTAACAACACTTGTCGTTGGATCGAGAGTCATCGCACGTGACGGGTGTGACGGACGTGCGGGCGAAGTGTGCGCAAGGCTAAGAGCACGTCATAGGCGTGACACCTTAGAATGCTGGTTAGAGGCATACGAGAGGCGGTTGCGCGCGCGCGAGGCCATGCCCGACCGGGTTTTTGGTGCCCGATATTGTCTCCAATGGTCCTAACTCATGATTCTCGGGTTCTGCCAAATGTGGGGTTCGCTTTGATGAGTCTCGGCACCCGACAGCGGTTTAGGAGCGATAAATGCTCCGGCAACTGGTATGTGAACTAATACATACCTCCGTCATAGAATTGATCTCATGGACTAGTCGAGCTCTCAAAATCTGATTGAAAACATAAATATGCACACCTCCACCAAACAAGAAAAAAAACGTAACAATGAGATGAAACACATAAAATATGAAATAAGATGAAACACACGAGACTCAACTAGGTGGACCAAAATTCGTAAAAAATACCTAAAATA